ACGAACGAATGCCATGGCTGTATGGCATTTTTCTATGTATAACATGAGTATGAGCTATTCGTTAGAAAGTCCTCTATCAAGGCATCTTTCTCCTTAAGAGCAGATAGTCTTCGTGTGTTTTGCTGTATTCAAATAAACCTAACCTTCAAACTATGGCACCTATCACTCTAAATCAAGATGAAAGCTTTCTAAACAAGATTTTTAAATCGGGCTGGGGGGGTTCCAGTGGCCAATCGCTAAAACTGCTGAATACTGGTAAATTCAACAGGGGTTCAAATCCTGACGAATGCGCTTGTTCTATGAAAGTTTTCTGAGGTTTTTCTACGTTCAGTGTGGATGAGATCTAGTTCCCCTTAGAAATTCTCTCCATGATAGTTTCAGTCCTCTTGCGCAGATTCCAAATCCATTAAATTTTCTTTATTAAATACAATTATAATTCTTTCTTTTTAGAGAAATCGCAGGGAAAAAACTGTAAACATCAAATCGAGTGCGATTACGAATATTTTAAAATAGTTAAAATTTTGAGCGGAAAAGCTTTTTTAATACGCTCATAAGCAACTGAAAATTAGGGGAAGAAAAAAATTTTAAATTGGCATAAAATTTTGTCGATTTCTACAACAACCTATATAAATGCGTTTTCAAAAACTTCTGCTGAAATATGAAGAGTTGTATTTGTAAAGTATTTATTAGTGAGATCTGTAATTATATACTCAGCTTTTAGTTTTCATAACTTCCATTCATCAGAATAAAGTCATTAAGCGTAAGGGGGGGGCAAAAAAGGAATTTTAATTATTTTTACATGATGACTCAAAATTTCCTGAGCTAGTATAAGTAATTATGTAACTCAAATAATTAAATATTTGCGAAAATTTTTTTTGACCTCTCTCAGTCTTACCAATGTTTCTGTATATAGAAAAACATAATTAAATATCGATAATGAGTATCATAGACAGTGGAAGGATGTAGAACATCACATTATATAATTGTGCTTGTCGCAAAAGCAGCCACTTTGATAAATGAACATAAACTGTCGGGAATCGCGTATGAATGTCACATACATGCTTTATAATACCAAGAATGTTATAAAAATGACGGTTATCTGATATCAACATTTACCGAACTTTCCAAAATGTTTAAAAATATTATAATATTTAAGAGTCGGCAAGTTTGTTTAAAAAATTGTATGCATTTCAATCACGGTGTTTGTCGCTATAATCAGAAGCTTGTCATCGATATTTAGACTATTTCTCGATAACCTACCGAGTTCAAATTTTGTACTCACACCGTTTACAGATGGAAATACGCGTGGTAAACCAAGTTTTATAAAATTCGATTTAGAGGTCTTAAAATTTAATGTTGAAAAAAATTTTTGTGCATATTTCCATTTAAAGAATAAAATAAAACTCTCACAGATTTTAAGTTTGCATCACTTTACAGAGCATAAAATAGTTTTTGAAATAAAAGTTACATAAAATTAATATAATTTCTGATTTTGGGCAAATTTTTAAAACTTTATACTTTTATGAGGTAAGAGGAATTTTGGAAATAAAGAACTGTACCAAAAGGAGAAAAATAATTTGTCGTACAGATTAATGGGAATAAGAGCCCCTTTGAAAAATTCCTGTACAGTTTTATAAGAAGAATAATAGATTCTTAAGTAACGAAATCAAATATCAAATCGCATTTTCAAAAGTATAAGATTTATAAATTTATCAAGAGAACCGCACGTTTGATATTCGTGATATGAATTTGTCGAAATTTTTTTAAAGAGAATTATTTAATCACGTGTTTCCAGTAAATTATATAATACATTATTTTTCTCATTTTAACTCATTAATAATTTATAAATCATAAATAAAAGTTTATTTTGTAAAAACTTGTTTATTTTATTCAATAATTGATCTAAAACAAAAATTCTTAATTCCTTTTATATATACATTCACTTTGTAACTGGCAATAAATTTGTTTCCTTAGAGTCAGTGTAAGGCCTTTATCTCAAAACATCAAGAAGACTTCTCCCCGCGATAATGACAGCCATTACCCATTGTCGTCAGGGGTGCGTGTACCCTTGTCCCCTTAGGCAATGGGGGCACAAAAATACAGGCTAGTCGTTTTTGGCGCATTTTTTCGCTAATACAAAAACACGGGACGATCTGTTTTCGAGGCTACATTTAAACTTACAATAACGCGTAACGAACCGTTAAGAGACCTGCATAAAAGAACGAGATAATCTGGGTCAAAACGGTAAAGGGTTAAAGAGAAGGAAACCGATATAAATTAGGCAAAATGTCTGGGAAGGCTTCAAATTAAAAAGACACATAAATATTTTGTTGAGCGTTGTTGCTACAAATGTGTAATTTTCTTAATATAGTTTAAGACTCAGTGTCATAAATTACATGTATTTAAAACTATGAAATTTTATTAGATTGTGACTTTAAAACTGCTTTTTTAAAAAATATTGTTAAAAAATAAAATTTAATAGTGGTCATGTAAATCTATAATGACTAAGGCTATCTAACTACCTAATTTAATTATTTATAAATAACTGCTTACTCTCAAAAATGATCTCTGCATATTAAAGAAATTTATTACTTTTAATTAATCCTTACCGTGGTCAGAAGATAAAACACAAAAATGTAAAAATTCATGTAAAACTTATTCTACGCACCTAGTGAGTATTAAATTAATACAGAAACAACTTATCACCTCTGACGCTTTAGTGGCTTAGTGGAACCTTAAAGTTAACCAGGTTACGACCCGTGGAACTCTACACGAAGCTACAATGCTAACTGTATCAGAGAGAGCCCATTTAACTTTCAAAACTTGCCCAACCATATCTACATCAGGCCTTTCAGGTATGTTCTGATCAGCAGGTTCCCCTCATTGCAAGCAGCAGCGGTGACAGCAGAACCTCTAGATTGATAAAAATGTGACAAAGTTAGACATAAGAAAAATCAACTATAGAGACATTAGGGTATTTTTGGAAGCAGGAAAGTTGAAAAATATGCAAAGCCTTTGCCGGGAATCGAACCGCGGACCTTTCAATTACGCCCTGAGCATGCAGACCACTACACCATGAAGGTTCGCTAAGAAGGCAGGAGAAATACCTTATACAACATAAAACTAACTGTAACTAAATGTAAGTAAAATGTCACTAATCTTCTTTCAAACATACCCAACTACTGTAAGTGTAAAATATTTAATGCTACTTGGTAAATTTCATAAAATTTATTTTGTTTTCTGATGTGAAAAACAAAGTTTAAGTACTAAGCAATAGAAAGCATTTTTTAAAAAAATTAGCAGAAATAACTATCACAGTAGAAACACCCTAAGTTTATGTATTATGTAGACATGGAGCATGACAAAAGTTTTAAACTTAACCAATATGTCAATAAAAACATTTAACAATATATATATATAAAAATAAATATACAATAAACAAATTTGATAAATACAAGAAACTTGAAGTTATTGTAACATAATCATTGCAAAAAAAAATTACATTTAGTTAACTATTCATTAATCCCCAAGGGTTTTCTTTTAAGAATATTACACTATTAATGGTACAACAAAGGCATTACCTGTTCCATGAATACTACCATTCAAAAACTCATGACAAACATATCACTTCCAAAAAAAAACTACATGAGTAACTTGAATTTCACTTGATTAAATAAATCCATGCTTTTAACTAAGAAGACACCTGGAAAAATTAAACCTTATAAACACTTGTGTTTAAAGATGCCACCCACCGCAGTTGCTCGCAGGAAACAACAAATTGAAAACATTGTCGCTTTGCTGAATCCTGAAAAACAAACATGGCACAAAGCCGCGGCACTAAAGAGCCACACATCACAAGAAAGTTCCCGAATGCGAAGAAAATGGAAAAAAACTAATCACTAAGTTAGAGCGATGGGAGATATTTATACACGTAGTAGATATGACGTCATTGCACAGCAGTTAATCAACTATCAGCACGACCTTGCTTTCCAGATGATGTAATCTCGAGTTTCACTTTTGTGTATTAATAAAGCTGGAACAGTCCATTCATAACATAAACAGTGGCGGCGAATTCGAGGGGGGGAAATTTAAATTATTTCAAGGAGGCGAGATGATGCAAAAAGAGTTACAATAAGCCATATTTACAACATTCTCAAACTTACTAATAATTATGTTAATTAAGTTATGTTTAATATGCATCCCAATTACGAATCTATTTTTAGGATGGTATTACAAAAGTCCAGGCATAGATAATATTTTTAATTTAATTTATTCAGTTCCCATTTGTCTTACATCTGTAATTTGTTTCATTAATGGTCCTTAAAAGTACTTAATTTCCGTGTGCAGAAATGTGTAGGAACCCTGCAGGAATGTGAATCCACATGAGGAGTGTAAAGAGAAGTTCATGGTTTTCTTTCTTTTTTTCTTGTTGGCAAATTTTGACTTAAATTACTGAATTAGCTACATTATCTAGCATTACGTAAATGATGGAAAAGGAATATCTAAGTTAAATTAGAGAATAAAGGGCTTTTGCAAATTTAGGTTAGAATTTTGATATACATATTTTTTATCTTACATGTATATAGTAGAGAAAGATTACTTTAAAAAGAAAAGACAGAAGCAGTTTAAAGCAAATTAAAAAGAATTTACAAAATTGGTTAATGACTTAACATGAAAAATTTGCGAGTATGATCAATTGTTGGAAAATAAAACAGTAGTACCCACTAAAAATATAGCAGTTCAATAAATTTTGAAAAGTTAAATATGTTATGATGTTAATCTGTAGATAGCTTTTAAAAAATTTATCTAATTTTATGTATCAATTTTAACAATCCATGCTTTGTAAAGTCTATACCAACTTTGAATGTAGCATATATTGTTACAATTTTATTGAATAAAGATCATTTGAAATACATTTCAGTAATACACGATGCCCTATACAACCAGTAATGACTGCTTTTTTTTATATGGACTTCAGAATATTTTCACTTGTATTTTAGGTAGAGAACCAATTCATAGCAGACCAGATTATCCAGAAGGTCCTCATCGTGTTCTTGGCTCACCTCCTGAGCCCAGGTAAGAAAAGTATATATAGTTTGTTGTATATGAATTTATTGAAAAGCATAAATATTTACCCAATTGTTTTAATTTTAAAATAGGGATCCTATACCTATTCATCACAAGAGTAGTATTGCTTCTGATAGTAGGCGCAAGTTATCTATGAAAAGAGGAGTTGAAAGAGAACATATTCCTCCCCCGTCAAGAAGTGATTCAAGAAGCCGCTTCCGTTCCCCTTCAGAAAGGCGATATCCTGAAAGCTTCTCTTCAAGAGGTTAAAAAAAAAAGATTTTTTTATATTGAAAACAAAAATTAATTCATTAATTTAAATTTTCCTGCTGAGGAAATCTGTAAAGCATATGTGCAATAGAATTCCAGTAACTCAAGAATTCACAGATACCTGCTATCATATAATCCATGTATATTTTTAATTAAATGACTATAATTTTGATTCTCAGGAAATAGTAACATGGCAGCAAATTTAATAGCAATTTTATACTTATATGCAAATGATTTTTTTAATAGAAGTACATTATATTAATAATATATTTTGGTTCACAAAATTAATTAATTTTATTAGTGAAATTATTTAGCATTTTCTTCTCAAACAGTAGCCTTTTGTATTATTCTTGTTATTATAATTACACATGGCTCAGATAGTGAATCTTGAGTAAATTTTTCGCCTTAGATGAATCTATAGTTTTGCGTATAAATTCTGCTTTCTTTTAAAATTAAATTTTGGGTTTATGTGACAAATTTTTATTTAGAAAATGTTTGTTTCCTCTTTTTCTCATCTTGAGTTCAGATTTAATTGTACTTGTTTTTTTTTTTTTTTTTTTTTTTTTTTTTTTTTTTTTTTTCTCAATCTACATAAGGTCAACAGAAGTATATTCTTAAGAACATCACTTGTTTGGATTTTCCTGTGAAACAGAATGGAAAGGTTAAGAAGAAAAGAAAGCTAAAGGACATAAGAATGCTAATCTGAAATTTCAATTTAGCTCTCTCTGTAATTGTTAACAGATCAGAACTAAATATGTGTCGTATGCAAGGGATTAAACTCTGTGAATCCATATTTCTTTGCTGCTGCTTTAGCAATGACAATTGAATTCATACGAAAGATCTGTAGCTCAGCTAAATATGTGTTGTATGCAAGGGATGAAACTCCATGAATCCATATTCCTTTGTTGCTTTAGCAATGACAATTGAATTCATATCAAAGATTTGTAGCTCAGCATTCCATGCCTTTCTTTTTAATTTCCTTTACAGTTTATGTAAGGCCTTCCGTAATATTCTTCATTAATGGTTGTTTCCTTTCTTTTAAATTCTATCAAGGGGTCCATTGATCTCCTGTCGGATACAAGATTGTAGTATAGGACCATTACTTCATCACCAGTTATGATCAGTTGTAAAACGTTTTTTTTTTTTTTTTTTTTTTTTTTTTTTTTTTTTTTTATTTGCACTGTGAACCTGCAGTAACTGCTAACAGAAAAGATCACATTGATGTTTTTTGAATTGCGAAGAAAAGTTGAAGTACACAAATTCAAGAGAATTTGTGTGTGTAAATGTAAAATGTGCAAATTATTTGTTTTAGATTCAAGCATTCTTGTTACTATCTACTTTTATTATCTTAGTACTTTTAGTTTCATGTCACTCGATTTTTCCTCCAGAATATAAGCCATGTTTTCTTATGTACATGCCTCCAATGGTCGACCCTTAAAAAATCATCTTTTACAGATCCTGTGAAATTGTTTTACTCATTCTTTTTCTTAAAACAGGAAGGAGGCAAATTCCCATGAATGTGATTCAAGGGTTGTTTTATTTTTGAGGAGACTGAGGTCCTTTTTAAGTAGAAAATCACAATATGGAAGAATATTCAGCTTTAATAATTTTAGAACAAACTAACATAACACTTCATGCGCTAAATAGCAAAAAAAGAATGCAGGTGATTTCACCAGCAAAACTTTTAAAATTTATTCATTTAGTATTGCCACTACATTTCTGCAAAGGAATTTATTTCCAAACGAGTTTTTATTTATGAGGACTGAAACTTTTGGATCTGTCTACTTATGCACTCTCTACACTTTTAAAATTTTTCCCAGAATAAAGTTTGATGTAGTTGCATTTCTTATAAGTATGAAATGGTTTTAGAAAATGTTATAGATCATCATATAAATAATCCTGTACTTTATCAGTGTCCTAAAATGCTCTATAAATGAAGTTTGAAAAAACTACTTTTTCCTGTTTAAACAAAAATGTACTAATATAAAAAAAATCATTTTTTAATTATTGATTCAAGTACCTGTGTATCACAAGATAATTAATTACGAAAACTTCATGGCAGTGTATTTTTAAGGCTTTTGTTATTTCAAGTTATATAATGTAAGGTAAGTCAATAACTGTTCCTGTCATAGTTACAGATGCTATGAGTGAGATCCTTTTGAGAATTAACATATATTCAGTTCAAATGATAGTAAAGTAAATCTGGAGCAAATGATAATTCAGTTCTAATATGGCCTCCAAATAAACTGTAGCTCATTTTTTGCAAAACCCTCCCCATGGGAGTATGTTAAAAGTATTGTTTTTGTTGTTGGTATGCATATACTGATGGACTGTTGCCAATAGTAAGATAAACAGTGTAAACTGGACACCCTGCAAAGGAGCTAATTGTGTGACTCTTACGTTTCTCATTCCTTCAAGAAAGTACAGTGATATGACATTCTCTATTATATAACTCCCTTACAATATGTATTTGGAATACTAAAGAATCTCAATCTGTTTACATATATCAATAAAATGCATTTGTTATCTTACAATTTCCGTCTACAACCTCTTTTTTGGATCAAGTTATTTGGCTATGATGTCGCTGATGCTGCACTGGATACAAGATAAGAGGAATCATTTTTCTCTCTATTTTTATTAATTTGTTGTGAAATTTCGAAAGAATGCCAAAATGTTTTGCAACATTTGTATCATAATTTCCCCTTGGTGAACCACTGGATATACTTCATATTGCATAAAGTAAAATTATACACTGGATGTACTTTTCTTTATAAAAAGTCTGTATTCTTAAAATTTAATGTAATAAATCACAGGTAAATATGTGTATATTACATAGTTTGAAATCATTTCTAGCAAGATGATTCTTTTGTCTCACTTGTATCATATCATATAATAGATTATTTTTAGTTTTGATATCAATATGTAATATTAATAATTTGTCTGTGTGTGTGTTTTTTTTTTCCCTCGAACAATCAGAGAGACACCATAGTGGCCATCATTCTCCTGGTATGGAGTTTCATAGATTGAGACGTAGTAGGTCTAGGAGTCTAGATTCAAAGCTCCCAGACTTTTCCCGCAGACCAGATAAATATAATTATAAAGCATGGATTGATAAGCCTGATATTACTCCAAGAGGTCCGAGTTATTTTGAGGTAATTTAATTTTTATGCATACTTTTATATAATTTATTATCCAAATTGAATGTAAAGAAAATTAGAATCAACTTTTGTTCAGAAATTTTGGAGCTGTAATGAAAAAAAAAATATGAAAAAACAAAACACTTATTTTCAGTTGTATTTTATGTATTGACTATTTCCTTGTATTTAACTACTTTGAGATTAACTACTTTATTACTCTTTGTTCAAAGAGCTTTTAACATTCCTGAAAATTCTTTAAATAATTAAGTAAAGCATTTGGTGGTGTCTGAGTTGCTTTGTTATAACAACTTAGGTAACTAAAATGTTTATATGACATTATCCTTTAGCACTGGAAGAAAATCATAGAGCAATAAATCTGGAGAATATAGGCAAAATGAAAAAACAGTTATTTAATGCTCTCCTCCAAACGCTAATCTGTTACATTACCCCCTTTTTTTTTTTCTTCTCTACATTTAAACTAAACAAGATGTTTAAAAAAATAATAGAACATTTTCTGTTTCTTACCAAAATCGTTATAAAAAATGCAATGACAAACTGAGTTAAAATATTATCTGCTACAGCCTACATTCAAACAGTGGATAGCAATCTAGGTATAACTTTAAACTGATTTTTTTGTAACCATACAAACTCTTAGGTGAATATTGTGTCGCAAAAACATGCATACTACATTGAAATGTGATCAAGTGTAATGCTACAAGTCCATATGAGCCTGCACTGTTTTAGCATGGGGTTTCATTTTAAAAAATAAATATATATATATATATTGGCTGTTTTCTGCTTCATGGCAATGGGATATGAATGCATTCTGTTGAAAATCTTTGTCCTGCAAATTAGAAATAGTGATAGTGTTATGGCTACTCACTTAGTAGAATGTGATTGTTGCTTCTGTGAATACTTACGCAGATTTCTTAGTGCTTTTGTGTGTGTGTGTGTATGTATACATGTGCATGTACACTGCAGAAAAAAAAGGGGGGACAGTTCTTTATCTCGTTCTACTGGGCCCATTGACAAAATTTTCAGCTTGCATTTTTCATGTCTCGAAAGCGGGACTTAGGATATGTATTAGATTTTTATATAGGTATTTTGACCCAAAATCAGACTTTTTCTGAAATGGCATGTCAATTTTTTTCCATATTTTGATTCACAACTCAAATTTTGCGAAACTGCCTATTTTGTAAAAATCACACGAGTACTTTTTTAAAAATTAACTTTAAAAATTGTAGCTCCTCAATGTTAATTGAATTTGATATATATTTATTAAAATCTCTTTTATTATTATTATTATTAAACTTACTTGATTCCCTCTTCCAGAATTCAAAATTTAGGCTTAATTCAAATATAATTTGCACATTTTTATGACTTATTTTTAAAAAAATAAGTATTTTTTATGTATTTTTCGAAAAAAAATTTTATTATAGCCTATAAAATTAACATCACCTTAAAGTAGATGTGTTTCTAAGCATATCTGCAAAAAAATTAGTTTTTTATTCAAAATTTCCTAAGATATACGTGAATTTACATTTTAGCACGTTTCGAAATTTGGTGTATTTAATATAACCGATAATAAAGAAAATGTGGTTTATGCCCTTTGTTAAAATCATTTGAAAGAATGAATGATGGACATTTTTTTTCTCTCGTGCATCAATGAAAAATAAGGAAAGTAGGTTACTATAAATTAAGAATTCTGCCAGGTGAATTATTCTTGGTACAAACTGGAAAAAAATCCATCAAGATAATTTTTTTTTTAATTTCTCCATAAATTTCTTCCAAAAATTACAAAATTTAATATGTAGGCATAATTTGAGTCATAGAATTGAAATATGGGGAAAATTGGTTTGTTATTTCAGAAAAAGTCCGATTTTGTGTCAATAATACCTATGTTAGAATAATGCTATATATAAATCTAATATGTATCATACGTTGCACTTTTGAGACATGAAAAACGCAATTTGAATTTTATCAATCGGCCCAGTAGAGTGGGAGATACAGATCTGTCCCCCATCTCTCCCCCACAATGTGCATACATGTATAAAGAGATGCATTTAAAATAATCTTTCAAAAGAAGTGTTTGTAATGATCATACTTCATATGTTCTACAAAAGCTTTGCTCCATCTTTTTACCTCCTTGTACGAAGTAAAAAGGAAGTATTGTAATCGCAAAATGTTTCAGGCATCATATTTCAACGCAAATATGCAATTTAACGATGTTTTTGCTTGACATTTGTACATAAGGACAGAATAAAGGACTCTTTCCCCCCCAAAAAAAATTCTAAAACTAATTTTAAATGAATTCTGAAGAAAATTTTTCATGGTGTCTGTGCGTACCTAGGTATCTTGCATAACTCAAAAATGTGTAGCCTCGGAACATTGAAATTTTGTATATAGGACTGCTATAACATATAGATATGCACCTTGTATTTTGGTTGCAATCTGCCACACTAAAAGTATATAAATATATATATATATATATATCTCCACTCTGTTACTCGGCTCAGTTTCTTTTTTCTTATATGTTTGTAAATTGTGCATTTTTTCCTTTAAAAATGATTGAGTTATGCTGTTCTTACCTTCTAGTTAAGGTTTTTATGCCTTTAGTAAATCTGTATGCAATATTTTTAGAACTATCAATAATTTAAAAGGTGTTTAAGTGCAGCTAAACCTAATAATTTTTGCCATGTTGGCCATTGCTTGTTTACATTTGAAACAAAAGAATAGTAGATTTGTTGCCAATCTAGATAAAGTAAGCTTCCCAATAACAAAGATAACGCCTTCTTTTATTATTGTGAATTAAATCATGCTTAATCCATTCTGGAATTTATTCAAGGAAATAAGTGTTTAAGATTTACTTCATAATTTTCAATACAGACGTTTCGAGTTTTGATGTATTTTTGCCTTGTCGCGAAGTGAGAACTGAATAAATTGAATAAGAAATCCTGAATCATCTGTGAAAACTTGTTTCTTTTTTTTTTTTTTTTTTTTTTTCCTGTTGTTGTTCTTTGCTTAATTTCTTTTATACATCGTTTTAGATTTATTATAGTATTTGAATAGAATATGTGGCAACGATTAGATAATTCTTAAGATAATGTGAATTTTGTGTATTCTGAGTTAAAAAAAATGATTAAAATGTAGTGCTGCTCAGTGAACCTAGGGCCAGAGTGTCACTATGGTAAACAAATATAGTGAATTTTAACCTTCTAGCACGCGTGTATGCTCAAAGTTTATGACAAATTTAGTTTTAAATGCATATTTTTCACATATCGAAGCTGAGACGTCTGAAGGTAATTTCTATTCCTCCTTTCTATTCTTCCCCACATCATCGAATCTGCCAACAGGAAGTCATTTGACTTCTTGTTTTAACTGGTCTTTTGTTCTACATGGCAGTTTTTTCATAAAAGTTACAACACGCGCATGGTTGTGTTTTAAAATTCGGAAAATATTTTTTTTCTCAAATATTTTGTAATTTTGTCTTATTAATTGCTGTGTATTATTTTAATTTGAATACATTTGGCTCTGTAAATTTTATATCGGTTTTCATGACAAAAAAATATGTGCAATCAGCTGATTTTGATTGGATTCTTCAAGAATTGTCTGATGAAGAAAAGGAAGACAAGGAAACGTTTGAATGGGAGATCAGTAGTGATTTCCATTCCTTATTTTCTTTTATTTCTATTTTTCAAAAATAATTAAAAACATTAAAGTTAGTTTAAAGTACGTTTTTGTAACCAGTAAGAAGTAAATTACCTTGCAGAAGTAAGTAATGCTAAACTTACTTTTTTCCTACCAAGGTGCTTTCCTTTTTTATTGTCTATACGTGCCTTTGATGAATATTAAAATTAGCTTCAATTTTAAAATATAATTATTAAATAATAAATTTAAAATTTTCTATAACATCATTGCATTTCCATCTCCCTAACATAAGAACTTAAAAATAATTTACTTATATTTGAATGTGATGTCATTTGTATTTTGCAATAATAAGATTAATATTTTATTTCATAACAAATTTTTTATCAATACTCGCTCATTTCTGTCGTTTTTCGTGCCAAAAATGGTAAAATAACGGATGTTGTAAAAAATATGACGCGTTCGTGCTGAAAGGTTAAAGAGTGCATTTATTCTGTTGTGGTTTATGCGCTATCAGTGAAGTAGATTTAATGGTAAACAAATATAGTGAATTTCATCAGATTTTTTATGTTCATTTTTCAAAACTCATTCAGTAGTTTATTACATATAAAATGGATGTTCTTTTAGGAACTGTTTGCAACATTTAAATGATAAGAAGTCAGCAAAGCACTGCAACAGATAGATGACAATAACTATGTATGTGAAATATTAAATGTTAATAAACCTCGCCTGCTTATGGCTATTATCCCTTAGAGAATTTTTGAATTTATGCATTCATTTTGTAACTTCAGTTGTTTTCCTTCTGCATTTAAAAGAAGATAAAAATTATGTGACTGTATTCTCCCAGTTCTTATTTCTTTGACCATCTTTTATTTCCTCTGATGTGAAAACAAATGTACACATAGGAAAACATTTATTTATAGTTAGAAGGGTTAATATATTGGATATCATGAATTGTTAGTTATCTGAAAATGAACAGCAACCAAAAGTAATATAAGCATCAACTTTGGTATTTGCATTTTTTGAATAGCTTAATTCTTGCATCTTTGAATTGAAAATCTTACAAAAATGCTGATAGCATTCGCATTTTAATGCAGGTATTTTCTCATTGCAGTGGGAAATAGTTGCACATAGTCAATTAAATAGCCAACTGAATAGGACTTGTTAAATTTGTCATTTGTATGAGGTGTATGTATCTGTGTATTATACATATGTAAAACAGACTTCTGACTTAATGATTAATATTGGTTTTCTTTTTGATTTGGTTGCTTCCTCTTTCTGTTCTGAAAATGGTGAAATGCCTGTAATAAATTTTTTATGGGATGTGTCATTTCAAAGTTGGTAGCTGTGGTATGATTCTTACTTGGTGC